ATAGGCTGTGTTGGCCAGCCCCTGTCCCAGTCTGGTCACAGACAGCAGAACATCTGCCTGACTGAAGCATGTCACGGGACTTCCGGCCAGGAAACATCCAAGAGCAAAAGTGAGAGATGGCTCCCTGCTGGTGTGGGCCAGCATCAGCCTCGATACAGCTGCCCACCGCTTTGCAGAGAGGGTGGGTGTGCATGGGTGAGAGCAAGCGCAGAAAGGTCTCTGCCCTCATGCCTTCACTTTCCTACTGGGATGTGTGTGTAGGATCCCCAACACACGGCCAGCCCCTCACTTTGAAGCATCAGGTTTCAGAGTAACAGGACAATTTGGTCCCTAGGCACCCTGAGGACTTTCTCCTTTTGTAGCTGATAGCAAATGGGACCGTATTGTTATGTATATGTATACTTCTGGAAAAAGTAATGAACAATATGTGAGAATTAATGCAGGGACCAAAACTAAGGTGAAGAAAAACCACCCATCAGCAGCTGGAACAAACTGAATGCCTGCCTTCTCCTACCAGCAGAAAAAAAGTACAAAAATTGGTTTGTAGACTCAAATTAGGTGGAAAATGGGATTATGCTGCACTAGAGTATTTTATACTTCAAGCAGGTGGGGAAGGAGAGGATAGACTGGATGGATGATGGAAAGAAAAGGAGAGCCAAAGTGCCACAATGATTCCATCTTCAGCCTCCCCAGATCTGTTGGGTCTTTTGTTCTACAAGTTCGTTGGTGATAGATGAAGAGCACCAGGATGAATCCATTTCTTCTCCACAGCAATACATGTGAGCATGACAGTAAAGTCTAACCTACTTGTGAGGCAGTGATAAAAGACAGATCTGCACATTCTAGCCAGGGAAAAAAACTTTTGCCTGAAAAAAAAAAAAAAAGATTTTTTTTATATTAACTTGATAACTTAGGTCTCTTGAAGTCCTATCAGCACAGATACAGAGCATGACATTCTTTACTGCACTGTAGCCAAAGTAAACTATCCCAGTGCCATATCAACTTGTGCAAAGGGAGTGGAAAATGCTCACATGGAGTGGAAAATGCTCTGACACCGTAGGTTTACCCAGTACAGATGGCTGGTTGCCAGGCAGTAAAGGAGGAATCAACTCTCTCATAGAGGCAGAACATATCCTAAAGGTAGCAAGCAAACAAAACACAGCTTGGAAACGAGTAACCTACAGTCTGTGCCAATCTGAGAAGGTATGGATGTGGAAAGTAATTTTTTTCAAGCAAACACAATTTCTATAGCTGATGGTGTAACAGGCCAGTCTCAATGTCAGGTTTCTGAAGTAGCAGTCCCCTGGATAATACTGCAGCCTTTTAACACGTCACCAATGCATATATCTTTCTTGAAGGCAATACAAACATCAGAGCACATGCTTCATTTTGCCCCATGATAACAACATCCACAACATCACAGAGGAGCATATCGATGTAAAATCTTTGGAGAATCTTTACATGTAAGACCAGAAAGACGGTATTTGCGTTGTGCAGAAAAAAAAAAAATTCTTAAAACACATTCATCTTCTGATATCGTATAATTGCTGATATTGTAATTGCTTACCCCTATTTCCTCTCTTTTTATCCATCTAAATCTGCCCTTGGGCTAGTTAGAGCAGAAAACCATGACAAAGACATAGTTTTGGAGATACGCCACAGTATCTTGAAAGTCAATGTGGAGAATTATCTGCATTGCATAAGGACAAAGACACAAGGATACTGATATACTGTATAGCACATATATCTCCTCATTTTCCTCCGAGGTTAGGAATTGCTTTTGGAATGGTTCTGATTATTTTCTCTGCCAGTCCAGAGCTTGAAAGAAGGCTGAGATTGCTGCTGTTGAGGGTAGAAAGTTCTTCCTTCATTTTATAATCTGTATGTTATTGCGGTTCCTCTTGGCTGGGAAATCTCATTTTTATTTCTAACCTCAGCCATGTGTCGGTCAATTCTGACTTAAGTTCCCTTCACCCTCTCCCTGCTGTGCAGCTCTGCAAGCCATATTGCAAACATATTTTTCAGCATGGGTGGGAGGTAGCATTGTGGTTTTGGGCTTTGCTATTGATATCAGTATTTCCCTTTTTGTTTGTTTGAAACATTTTTTTCTTTAAAAATAGAGTTGATGGTAAACAGCTTTTGTTTAGTCCCCAGGGGGAGGTGCAGTGGATATTTTCATGCAAGTTTGAATAAGAGAATTAAATCACAATTTCCCAACTTCTCTAATGAATTCAATGATATAGTCATCATCTCATGAAATCTTCAGCTTGATCCTTTATTGGGATTGTGCAGAAGAAACTTTGTAGACTCCACTTGTAATTAAATCTCACTCCAATAAATTAGGACTACAGCATCGTGGTTTATTGCCAGTGGAGGGAAATTAGGGGATCATTTGATCCTCAACCAAGAAAATACCAATGTTCTCTAAAAGGACAGCTTTAAAGAAAACATTCAAAAGGCTGACAAGCTGTCAATCCTTTCCACTTCTTTTAACACTGTTTTCTCTCTCTTCTTTGAGCTGATGGCTCCTGTCAAATAAAGATTCACTTCTCAAATATACTTGCCTTTATCAGATCTTGAACTTGGACAAAAATGCCCACTTTGCAATTGCAAGAACTTCTGCCATTTAAAATGCAAGAACATTTCACTTCTACTTTTCTCCTAATCACTCCACTAGTTTTTCCTTTGAAAAGGGGCAGTGAAGAAAATATCAACATTTTAACCCAAAGAGGTCAGTACTATAAAACTAACATTCAGCTGGCTCTCTGTGTGGCAAAGGCAACAGAACAATGGCCCTAGATATTAATATTGATTTATGATTTTACACAAACAAATATTTTACTAAATTCCAATATTTATATGTAAATAATCTTGGTGGGTTTGGTTATTTTCAAAGAGTGACAGATTAATTCTTCAACTTTACCACTTTAAGCATACATTGTCCTTTGTGTTTTTCAAGAGTTCTTGGATGTTTCAGTATAGACTATTTGCTCCCAGCATCAGGAGTTGAGCCAAGGAACCTTGATGGGTTCAATACGTGACACAGTTGTTTGCAGTAGAGACGAACCCACTGTGAAACCTGTGGTACGAAACACAACAGTCCTTATGCATAGGGAAGGTTTCTTGAGTTAGTAGCTGACAAGTGATGCTTCGTCAGGCGGGTCGCCGGGCACATCAGTCACCAGTGATCCTGAGTCATTCAAAGGGATTTCCCTCCTTCTCCTCCCCCATCCCACCCTTTTTTGGGGGGATTCAAAACACACACTTAAGAGCTCTTCCCAGACGACCCTTCTGTCTAGTCCAAAACGCCTCTAGCAAGGAGGCTGCAGCAGGGTCTGAAAACAGCAATTCTTCATGGGAAAGAACTTCCTGGTCGTGCTGCGGGGAGCTGCGGGAGGGAGCGCCTCCCCCTTCCAGCCGCGGCCCCCCGGGCTGAGCCACCACGCCACGGCCACCCGCCTGCCTTTCTTCATCCCCACCGACCAGTAAAGCTGGCCTCGGGCAGTTCAGGAGCCCTGGAGCTCACGGATGACTCTTCTTTCTCAGATGGAGGAGCCTGAAACTTTGGGTTTGTTGATTATCTTTCTGGCACCTTGGCACTGCCGCCAACTGCTGTTCCTGTCATTAGCCCCTTAGGGTGACTATCCATGCTGGGTTTCAACAGGGTACATGGAAGGAAATGGCAGGTCCTATTTAGTTATCCATATCCTGAGAAGTGTCCCCATAAAACATTTTTTTTTTTTAAGTGTATAAACCAGGCACGGGTTTCTTGCATCAGTTTCTGGGAATGCTCATGAAACCAGCGTCTTCCCAAGCGAGCCCTCTGATAACCTGTCATCCAACCCCACCTTCCCCAGCTGCAGCAGTACAGCAACATCACAAGCTGGGTACACAGCAGCTTGTAACAGGGCCGTTTCTGAGGTTCTAGCTCCACTCATCCTCCTGAGAGCAAAGACAAATGCACAGTTCTTCACTGCAGCTCTGCAGTCACAGGACTGATTGCAGGAGGCACTGGAGACCGACGGCCACCATCCTCCTCCTCTGCACCTGCTTGGCCCTGAGCCCTGCCGCTGCCATTACCAGTGACACTGGGGCCATCACAGTTTTATGCACCTATTTAGACAGGCACTGAAACTCACCATTTACTGTTTTTTAACTACATCTGCTGTAAAAGGAGCTTCATATTGACTGCTGTTTGCTGCTGGCAAAAGGCTTCTGGCAAGGTGTTCAGCTATGGCACCATCCAGCCCACTCCGCTAGCTGACGTTTTAATTATAGCGCAGGTACTGTGAAAGCACTGAGGCACAATCATTCATAAAACTGTACTCCATGCATTTCTTAGTTGACTGTATCATAGTATCAGATGGAACAGCCAGTGCTGTTAGAGGAATACACCATTTTTAAAGCGGTACTAAGTCTAGTCTTTCATCCCCTGGTCAGTCACATACTACTGCTAAACAAAGCTTACTGAATTTCTACGTTTTAATTTCTCATTCTTAGCCAATAACATCTTCTATACAATATCGTTGTTTCCTATTTTTTTTATTATTTTTTTTTTTTTTTTAAGATCTTGGCTGTTTATGGGCATTGGAAAACTAATTACTTGACGTGACTGATGAAACATACACATTGCAGAATCAGTTAACCCCCTCCCCATCAGAAGAAAATACAATGCACAGAAAACTCTTGTTCCACAGAGACATGAACTGAAGGTAGCAGGAGTGGTTATATGGGACAATATACAGTTCTTCAGAAATCAAGGATACTAATAAATGGGATGATGAAAGTTGAAGCAATTCTTTTTAAGAACTGTTTTTTTATGGGCAGAACTGGGGTGGGGGGGAGGCAGATGAAACATGTTTTGGAGCTATTTACTAACCCTCAGAAGTCCTAGATGGTGATGAAGAAAGGTGGACATAGTAAGAGCGGTGGGTACAGTTTGTAAATAAGTATTGCTACACAGTATGCACAAGAGTTAATAAAATAAATTATACACCATATTTTCTTTTCAAACAAGCTTTAAATAGTCCATACGTAACAGAATCATGTGTTGCAGACAAGAAATTCTTGCTGCCAAAACACAGGATGAATGTTTTTCCCTGTCATTTTTTCCAAATTACAGACTTAGGAAAAATATTTAAATGAATTAGAAGATTTTAAAAAATAAAATTATGCTAAAAACCAGAAAAGTCCAGTAGAATAGACCAGTGAAGTACATGAACAAGTCATCAGAAGAATGTTAGTACACAGGGACTTACAAAAAAACACACAGGAGTGGACATAAAGGCTTTAAAGACACAGATACGATGCAGGCTAATTCCGTTTCAAAGAGCAGAATGCATAGGCTTTATTATAAACTCTGTAATTCATGCATTTGTGTGTGCAGATAAAATATACTTAAAGCCATGTATTTAAATGCCATCAAGAAGACATCTGCACTCCTCCCCAGAAACATCAGTTGACTTCAGGGAAGAATTAAACCTAGTTTTGTTTATTTTTATACACTGGCCTAATCCATACTCATAATCTATAAAAGGGAACAAAGTAAAAGAAAGAAACCAGGTATTTTTCTGAGCTGCTCAGAGACACCGGGACAAAGATCCAAACCCCCTTTTTGGTAATCACTGTCACTGGAATGTAATGGCAGCAACACCAGCCTGGACAGTTCTCAGCTGTGTTTCAGAAAGTGGCTCCAAGAACGATCCAAGGGTTGAGTGGGGAAAAATAGAAATTAACCCTGTAGTACATACATACATACATACATACATACATAGATGGCTCTTTTCAGAACAAAATAAGGTCGCACTACTGAGTATGTGGCAATATGGAGTGTGCATTAAGATATACAAGTGAAATCTCCTTGGGGCACCTTCACTCAGAGGGATAAGTCTTCTTAAAATATAATAATAATAATACTTCTTTATACTTGCCACTTGTTAGCAATTGTTTACATCGTAGAAAAATAGATAGTATTCTGTAACAAGAAATATAGTTACTTTGTTAAAATGGGCTATTTTAAACCAGCTACTATTCTTTCATATAAAGAATTTCTAAACAGCAAAACAAAAATAGTTAATACTGAGTGCAAAACAGCCAGTGGTATACTTTGCATTGGTTTGAAACACTAGTTGCCAGCTACTATAATTACATGTTCTGTACAGTGTACTACAGAAGTCTTCCATCTTTTAGAAGCTTTGGGGGTTTTGCTTTTCTTCTCTCTAGGTGGCAAGTAAGTATTTAATCCAAGTAAATTCAAACTCTGGAAGTCAGAAACAATTTCACAATCAGTCTTCACTACCATTCTGTCACATTCCATCCCCCACATAGTGCAGCAGCACTTTCTACTTATGGCCAAAAATCCCGTAAGTTAAACAAAGTTAGACTGTAGATACTTAGAAGTTAAGCTTATAAATTCACATTCTTTTAAAAATCATTTCACTAATCTCCCACGTTTACATTTACACCAAAGAGAAAGCTCAAAAGCCTCACTTCATGCATTTCACCATCCCCGCTGAAGACTGAAATAGAGTTCAGATAAAAACTCTTTGCCAACAGTAGGTATTAAGTCTTAACGCTACAAGCCAGATGGTTCCAATGTAGAAGTCAGATTTTTCTGTGGTCTCCGCAACAGTTTCAGATGCGAATAACTAATTCCCAGTGGCAGTGGTAAAGGCATTATCAGCACACCATGTACACCACAAATAGAGGCAATTTCCAAGCATCAAACAACAAAAAACAAACAAAAAGCACCCAGAAAAATATCACTGAAACATTCTTAGTAGAGCAGAGATCTCTATTCTCCTCTTCATTCATCTTACACCTTTTCAACTTTGGTGGGGTCATACATATCTGAAAAAAAAAAAAAAAAAAACCAAGAAAACACTATTAATAATGTATTGTGAAATCTATTCAACATTGCTAGCTGCAGAAATGAGACATCTTTTCTCCCATTTTATAAAAAAAAATAAGTTAATACTGAACTTACAGCCTTAAAGATGCATACTACAGTCCTGACCAAATTCTGTATTTACATCAGTGTGATTCAGAAGCAACTTGGATCAAATGCACAGAGATAGACTTTGGGAAGCCTTGGGTAGGTCGGAACAAGTGCACTGAATGCTAAGTGATTACTTCTAGCTTTCAGATGCTTTGACAGGGAGAGAAAGACATAAGATTTGTCCCTCCTTGTACTGAACACTAAGGACATGTAAATGCTTTAAGCATTCTAGCATCATGTTTAAGGCTGGCTGAAGAAGTGATGATGCCATCCAGTCACCAGGGTCTTTTCATTCAATTGCAAATCCTTGGTTTCATATTAATTCAGCAGAATACAAGAAAGCACAGCTGCGTTGCATCACTAGGGTTAGACTGTCTGGCTTCAGTCTGTAAAACTGCAGCTCACATTTTGAACATTATTCACTAAAGCACTGGACTGACTTTTCATTTTCAGCCTACCTCTTGTCAGTTCACAGGACAGACCATACTTTCTGCTTTTCCTGAACCCCCAATGACACTCTTCTATCAGATTTTTTTTTTATTGGATTTACCCCAGCGTTGGCCATGAAGTGAGCAGATGGGAGCCTTTTCCTTTACCTCTGTGACTCTGAGATAGGACTGCAATGAAAGGGCTTTGCCTTGTGAGATCTGCCTGCTCTCTGCCATCATGCACACATCTGACACCCTGGACTCCGTGGGACCCAAGATCACAGCGTGAAGGAGCCAGGGCTACCTATGGAGGCATCTGTAGGCACACAGGGGCCTGGACAAACTGACACTGCAGCCCATGCTACCTTGTGCTACTTGCTGCTCTTATGCAACCTGGGTACCTGTGCTAACCTTAAATGTCTCTCCTGTACACTGTACTCCCACAGCATTCACATTTAAACAGTTGAGCATGAAAATAGCTGCACACATAAATATCACACTTTGGAGTAAAACATTCGCCCTCAGGACTTTTATGTTGATGTGAGTGAAGCGAATGTCTTCATTCAAACAAGCATAAAAATCCTCAGAGAGAAACTTTTACTCCTGTATCCAAGTGTCCATTTGCAGCATCCAGACTTATATGAAGAGGGGACTGGCTAGGAATGAACTTCTGGATTTGGCCCCAGTAGGTGGATTCCTGGTGCAGGATCCTTTATCGCTTCTCTTGCCCACTCTCCTCAAATTGCTAGGCCAGCCAAGAAAGGAGTCTGTGCCAGCAACACTTATGTTTTCAGAACTGCTTATCACTATTCAGCCTCTTCTGGTTTTTCCAAACTTCAAGAACAGACACCACATGAAGGCAAAAAAGTCAAGAGGAAAAAAGTTTTTGAGGGCTAGTGCACGCCACGATAACACTGCATCTTTCTAAGCTTAATGCACTGATGGTGTGGGAAGATGCTTCGAAAACAGTAACATTTTTTCAATTGTAAATAATTTGCCATATAAATTGCTGGAACGTACAAAAATTCTGAACTGTTCTGTGTGAGGTTTACCTAAGAATAAAAATGGATTCACATTTCAAAAGCCAGATTTTCCTAAGGCCAGACACATTCACACTAATAGAACTCCCCACAAAATTGCAGGTGCTTACTATTTCGGGGAGTGTCACAGGGGAGAAAATCAGGCCACAAGACATGGAGCCTCTGCATGGCCCAGTTTATTCCTTGAAAGCTTACCCACACCCTCAGCACCTAATCAAAGGACACAAAAGAGACAGAGACTGCCAGGCTATATCACACTTCTGGGGGCACAAACACTGGAGTTCTAGCACTGAGGCAGAAATGTTTATTCAACATTTGGTTAAGCTCATCTGAAATGCTCTCTACAGAAGCAAAGCCAGATCAGCAATCTCATGGAAGCAGTCTTCAAATAGCAAAGGAGAGAAGACATCCAGTGCATTTGGGAACATTTGGAGACATTCTTCTAATGGTAGTATTTGCATAGTAAGATCAGCTTCTTGCACTGAGTTTTGACAAAGCTCTTACTTGGAGAGATGACTGTTCATCTGCCAAGCTGCATTATACATGTGAAAACCTTTTCTGCTAAGGCCTCCAGCCTCTGCGACGGGCCCAGTCTCCAATTATAAGACTAACATCACCCTACCTCACTCCAAATACAATGGCCTTCAGCAATATTTACCCTTTAAAAGCAACAAGCACAATGGTTTTCCAGGATTCTCATTTTGGCTTTCAATGGTATGAGTGAGCTAGTCTGGAAGCTGGAGTGAGAGGTAACAGAGGAAGACACAACATCGGGCCTTTTCTACAAACATGAATCTTCAGTCGTGCCCCATTAAGGTGAAGATCTTGTGCCATCAACAAATCAGGGTCTTGTTGGATGGGAAGAAGTCAGTGGAGGAGATGCCTTCCTGCCCCGTGTCAGTGAGTGTTACCCTGTGGTGCTGGATGTGCACAGAAGGAAGGGACATCCATGCTCTCCAGACATGGGGCGGGCTGTTACATCTGCAAGAGAACTGCTGCAATGGGAACACACTGCAGAACACAAGCCTGGCATTGTCAGCAAGAGGGATAAATTTAGACCTAATTTACTGCAGAATAACTCTCCAATAAAACACACACAATCTGTTTTGATACATCCCTGAAGTCATGTCACCACAACAGTTATTTTCTTCACTCCAGCAGAAACCCCAAGGGAGGAAAACATAAGAAATGCATGTGGGACGTACTAAACCTGATGGGTACAAGAAAGCTGAATTAGCCTGTTTGGAAAATCTGGTCTATAGAAATACAGTTCAGAGCAGAAAGCGAGACAGAGCTGTGGGATACAGGAAAAGACATGAAGGAAAGGGCTGCAAGACTGCAGGAGTCAATATTTAGAAATCATACGAATATTTCTCTTCAGATGGAAATACATAAATCCACTTTAAAGTATGCTCCATTTAATTTCAGTCCCTCTGTACTGGAAAATTGTGAACAGATTTATATAGATGAGGTTTAATGAATAACCTGTGCAGATTTCAAGGTAGAGTGTCAGCTATTACAGGGAGGATGGAAAAAGGAAGGAGGAGATTAATGTTAATTTAACAATTTTCACACTATACATTTGCTCAGTCCAATTAATTTAATGGAATAGACAGGTGGCCTGGGACATTCATCCCTTTACACAGATCTATGGCAACAACTGACTTTCAGTTGTTCAACACAATGCTGTATAAAAACCGTTTCAGAGAGAGAACAGCTCATGTTACTTTGGGGATGCATATGGACTACACAAGTTTATTTGCTTTTGAGAGACGAGGAACGCACACACATACACAAAAAAAAAGGTGTTCAATGAAAAAGTCAACTTTCCATTTGACCTGGGGATAACAGTTATTCTCAACATCTGATCTGGAAAATATTCATGAGAGAGAGAGAGAGAGAGAGAGAGAGAGGGAGAGAGAATTTTCCAGGTCCCTTAATGCAGCGATTTCCCAGAAGCTTCACAGAAGAACATCAGATTTTTACTTTTAGTTTCTCTGGACTCTGATACAGTATGTATCTACTTAAGCATTAGAGAGGAAAAAAATGAAAAAAATGGGTATTCAAGGAGAGGCTATGATTAAGTCACCACGTGTTCCCAAATGCTGGCACTAGAGTGACTATCTTTGAACTCTGCTGTTTGAAGCTAGCAGTTCCCTCAAACAATTAGACAGAGATAAGACCTCAGGGAGTGCTGCAGCCTCTGTGAATGAGTTTCAGTATCACAAGTGAGTTTTACAGTAACTTCCTCTGAAATAGGATTGGGAACACTCATGTTATCTCTTCCACAAGGAGAGCAAAGGGGGTGGCAACTAGATGGGGGTAGTGCCACCTACAGCCTGATACTATTTGAGCAGCATTATGTGGGCATAAGCAAACCCATCATGCCCATTACATAAGGAAACAGTACCCATCTGAATCTCCCATAATAGGGTCTTACCTAAAGAAAAATCTCTGTCCATCTTCTTCTTGTCCATTCCACCTAAATATCCATTTTCACTGAGAGAGATAACACGCTTGGAAACAGCCCCTGAGCTTGCCAGTTTGCTTCCTCTCTCCTCTTGTACCCTTGACAGCTTCTCCTCATCTACCTCCTCTCCTGAGTCTGCGCTCTTAATGCTCAGACGTCTCATCCGGGACACGGAGTCAACTTCTTTCATTCGCACTAAGCGATCCATGGCAGTCCGGCTAGGTGGAGAAGTGAGCTTGCCTTGGAGTGTCTCTATCACTTTTGAGGTGCTTCTCACTCTCTTTTCTGAATGCTGATACACAGCTGTCTTGCAAACCAAGTTTTGGTCCTCACCTTGGCTGGGACTTGCAGGTTGTTCAAGAACTTGCTCAGTTACCAGTGTTTTAGTATTGGCTTCCTGGTGAGCGGTCTGGCATTCATCAGGGTATAAAGATCGGCCTCCCACTCTGACAAAGAGAGCGCTCTCTGTCCAGCCACACTTTCGTCTGCCTTCGTAAGAACTCTCTTTTTTTCCTTCTTTGTCACTTACCGTGCTCACCACAGATGACTCAAAGTCCTGGGCACCCTTTGCAGGGCTAGTGCCTGAGTGGGGCCCAACACGGTCATCCGGAAGGAGTGACTCCACTGCTATATCTATACCTAAAATTCTTGCAGCTCTTGCCTGCAATGACTCATTCACTGGGATTTCCACTGCATTTGCATTTGAAGAGTGATCAGAATTGTTAGCACCAGGTCCTGGGGCTACATCAAGTCCCACTGACCTCAAATCTGGCTCAGAGAGCCCTTGGTTCCTCTTCGTTAGTGACAAGCGTACTACCGAGCCTCTCTCTAATACTGTATCATTTGTGGGAGTTGCACCTTTGCTCAGTTTAACGAAGTCCAGGTAATTTTGGTCTTCACTCATTTCCTGCAAGACAGGGTTATTGAAAGGATTACTGTGACATGAACTGTTTGGGCTACTGGACAAAACTCTCTTGAGAGGGCCCACATGAACTGGCTGCTTGCTTGTTCTGTTTTTGGCTTCCCCTGTCCTCATTTCTGTTATCAGACTTCCATCTGCTGGCCTGACTCCTTCACTGCTCCCTCCTGGCTGGAAGGAGCCTTGAGGGCCAACACAGCCCAGCTCGCCACCATGCTCCATCTCCATGCTCCAACTTTCAGACTTACTTTTAATTCTTCCTGACTTAAATACAGGCACCTCTGGCACGACCGTTTCCAATTTCCCACTGTGTTTTGGCTCCTGGCTTGACTTCTCATTTCTGGACGCCCTCCTCTGTGTAAGGGCACCTGACTGCGGAGAAGCCGCAGTATTTTCCAAATCTTCTTCACTGCTTGTGCTCTCCTCCTGCCCTTGCAGCTCCTTGTTAAAACTTTCTAGCTCACTTATTGCATCCCAGGGACGGCGACTTACAGGCTTCAACAGGAACTGCCCAAACAGCTCTCTACTGTTGCAGGGAGCACCTGCTTCTCCCTTAACTACATCTCCCTTGGAAAGAAGGCCAGTGTCCCTCTCCTGGGCAGGCACGGGCTGGCTCTGGTGGGCTTTTGGGGAGGGGGCCTGAAGGACCGAGGTAGCAGTCCTGGAAAACGCACTGTTGCTAGAATGGCTGAGGTACATCTGACCCTTCATGCCATAAGCACTCTGTCTGCAGCTTCTCTCATCAGAAGGTAACCCTGTCTGTTTTGACCCTACTGTAGATGCTGTACATCCTAGGAGCTTTGGAGACAGAAGTTTGTTACTATTGAGCTGCCCAGGCTTTGTACCATGGAAAAACTGTGGGCTTTTGGGTTCTTCGGTGAAACTAGTCTGTGTCTGCTGGTCTTTGTACTGATCACCTGGCCAGGAGCCAGAGTATTTGAGCTCTCTGTGTTTTGTAGGCTGAATAAATCTGAGGTCATTCATTTGTTTGAACTCTTCTGGTCTCCACAGCTCTTGTTTTTGTAACTCATTTTTATTGGTCATGCTTCCTGTAAGCGCTTGTAACTCCAAGTCTGTTGAAGACATACTTAAGAGACTTTGTTCTTGCAAAGCCCCATTGTTATCAAACCCATTCTTATCAGGGCTCTGGGTTATGTTGTTGTTCCTATCTGTATCTGGCAGATTGGATTCTGATTTAACTGGGATAGAGACCAAACAAAATATAGTTTCATTCATTTTTTTCTTTGAACTCTTTTTGCTCTGCATCCCAGTTCCAGGTTCAAACTTTTTCACTTTTGTAACAGTCTCACAGGTGCTGTCCATATGTGAATTTCTTACAGAAAATTTGCCTTTTGTGTACTCTGTGCTGGCTTCGTTACGGGGATTGTGATTAGCTGTGCTACAACTGTCTCTTTGGTCTGGCAAGGCACAATTTTCCTGACTGCGGATGGATGGTGCCAACCATCTGTTGCTATGGGTGGAGCTATCAGAAGTTCTTTCTCCCTTTGCAGGATTGGATAAGTTTGATGCATCCAAAAAGGCACTGTTGTACTGAACTTCAAGATCTCTCTCTTGCAAAGCACCAGAACAGGGACTACATGCATTTTCAGTGTATTTAGCATTGTCCTGCAGACCTTCTGGTGGTGCAATTTTAATATGTCGTATCCGAGGATCATCAAAGGGAATATACTGAACAGAACGCAGGTAATCAACAGGGCGCCTTGCATGGCTTTGCTTCCCATGAGGAAGGTGGTTGTCTTTGCAAGGGTTACCCCCCGCTTCAAAAGTATTCGTGGCTGGTTGTTGGCAGGGAACAACCCGCTCTGCAGGACCCTGCTTATCGCTGCTGGCGTATGTGTCGGCATTAGGCACTTCACTGGGGGGATGTGGGGTCACGTTATGGTGAGGTGGAGATTTGTAAGAAGGAGGAGGTATGTAGACCGGGGGCTCCAAACCAGAGTCTTGAATGCAAGCATCTTGCCTTGGCTCATTAACTTTGGCTAAGTAGGAGATGGCTTCGTCTTTCTGGTAGTGGTTCTGGAAACCCGTGGTTTCCACAGGTGCCCTAGTCTGCCGCTGCAGTTCGTAGGACGGAGGCTTGAGAGGTCTCCCATACTTGGGTTTCACCAGGGGAAGGAAATGACCTCCTGTTTCGTGGTGCTTGGCTGGTTCCACACTCAGTCTGTTTGGGGGATAGGAGGGGGTTTTAGTTACGCTGAGCGAGTTGTTACTGTTGGTCAGGGACGGCATTTCCACGCATCTCATGCTCTCGGGTGAAAGGACCCTCGGCAACGACTGTGATTTCCCCTTGTTGTGGGTGCTCAGTACATTGTCTCCCAGTGTCAGTGAATACAGCTCTTGAAGCAGCTTCTCCCTGTCACCCTCGGACATTTGCCTCCCTACCTTTTTTGGCTGGTTCCAGATTTCCATTCCCAGACTTTGCCATTTGCAGTCACCAGGCGCTTCGCAGCTCTCCTGCAAGCCACTTCTTCTAACGTACCCTGTACCCGTCCCCACCTTCAGCTGACCCTCCTTGGGGTGCCGGGGTACCCCCGGGGCTGTGGCCAGGCCTTTCATTTCCACACCAGCTTTCTGGGAATAGCCCAGGAGCACACTGAAGTCCTGTCCTCGTCTCCTCCAGTAGGCAAGATCTTTATCAGTCTTGGGCTGGGAAGACCATGCTAATTGAGGCCTGTCATAAACCCTGAAAAAGAAACACAGTGTCACAGGCAGTTTGCACAGATGCCCTTTCTTTGTCTTATGGGTAAGGCCATTAGGAGGTCAAATGTTGAGTTACGGCAATGGGGTTTGTGTAATCTATTAGCAACCAGATGATTTTATGATTTTAATGAGAGGATTTAAAAGTCAGTCATTAACATGAGTAAAGGTAGGGACCGATGCTCTGCTGGCATGTTGTTAGCTATGCAAAGCTGTTAGAAAGAGAAATGAATGCACACAGTTACGTGCTGTGCAAACATGCACAGCCCTCCTTGATGGACACCAGAAAACCAGAAATGGTTGTGTTGAACTTATTTCTGCACTGTGCTACATCAAAATCTATAGATGTCAAGGGGACTACTGTGGTACGCAAGTTTAATAGGAAACCAGAAACCAAAGGTAGGGAGAACAGGTAGAAGGCTATTTGATAAGATATATTCAGTAAGAAATATGATTTACATCCTAATATAAGAGCTGAAATTAAACATGTAATTTCCAGTGTTGATTCTTGTTCATCTTTCCAAGGGAATAAATTTCTTCAAAGTGCTTTAGAAGAAATGATACATGCCACAACAATGGTAATGTATCGGCACAGTTCTGATTAAGATGGAACCAATATTGAAAATCTAAAATACCTGAAAAGAAGTATAAAATTCTTAAATAAAAGAGGGATTAACTCCGGCAATCTATTACTGAAATATGAAAGACATTAGACATTTTATTGCGGATTAAAAATTCAGAACACAGATTTACACGAACAGAATAGGTTCTTTGTGTGTTCTGAACAGAGTATAAATTGTTTTATATATTACTGCAGAACAAAATTGGTACCCTTCTACATAAATACTTAATCTTCTACTTGAACTGTGTTCTGCTATTCTTGTACCTAAGGTGGCCAACAGTGTAACTGCCTTTACACTATGTGGCTGCCACCAGCATAAAACTGGAAAGAAAAATCAAAATTGACAGAAATAGGACAAGTATGTAGATAGAACCCAAGAATTTATTTCTCTTCCCTCCACCCCAAGGTATATAAACAGTGTAATCTGGCTCTTTTTTACTAAAAAAAAAAAAAAAAAATATTATCTTTTAAAATAGTCATTTGTGAAAACATAATACAATTCAAAATTCAGGATGAAAATTAAGCAATCCAGGTCCACAGCAATTTTCTTTTATGTATATTAACTTCATCCTATGACTATAAAAGTTTAAAAACCAAACGGGGAAAAGCAGCATCTTGTTCATATTAATTCAACTGGATTAAGACTTAACATCTGAACAAAATGTTCTGCCTCTGAAGCACAAATTACAGTTCAATTGCTGAACCCCAGGAAGTAAGACGTCTTCATTAATCAGTGAGATATAACAGGACACCTCCTATATTGGAAAGTTGATTGCAGTAACAATGACCATTTCCATGCCTCTCTGGATGTGGAAACATGCAGCTGAACAAAATCTGCTGCCTTCTGAGATTATCAAATCTACATTTTCATCTCATCCCCATGCTGCTATGGCACCATTTGTACCTGTGTTTACAAAATGAGGTGAGAAACAGAGTCTAGCAATAGTGAGGAGGGAATGGACAGATTGGTCTTTCTGTTTGATTTTATCCATCATCATAAAAGGGTCTACAGAAATTGTAGGAAGTACAGAGTCATAGATTCCAAGATCAGAAGAGACAGTTACGATTATTTAGTTTGACATCTTGCTCAATGCAGGCCATCAGACTTCCCTGAAATGATTCCTGCTTCAGTGGTAGCATGTCTTTTAGAAAAGCAGCTAAAAACCTTGATCTTTAAATTTCCAGAGATGTTGTTGCAAAGCTTAATTCACCATTAAAAGAAACACAAAGTAAACCCAAATTCTTATCAACCCAAACATAAAAACACTGGAGGAAGGAGGTATGGTAGACAATAATATTGAGATTTGCAACAATTGCATCTAACAGCACAGGAGTGGAATGGCTAGCCATTTAAAATGATTTAATAGGAAATCAGGAATAGGGAAGGAAGCATTACTAGACTCTTTCCTAGGAAATCACTAAACCAGAAGAGTTCTGGTTAGTTTGCTTTTCTAAAAACAAACAAACCCAAGATCAGACATTCATTAAACTAAATTAGCCTGAAGTTAGGACATTTATTAAAATCTGTTTAAAAGATTAAATTTATTTTTAAAGATTAAAAGATTAATAACTAGGATCCAGTAATGAACTTCAGAACATGATACAAACCACCACATGATCTGTACTATGCTATCATTGCAACGTGATTGTAGAAAAGACATTTAAAAGGAGGTATTTGGAGTATTTTAAAACTGGTATTTTCTATGATCTTTTCACAAGATGGACAATATCAGTCTCTCCAGCTCCTGGCTCAGGTACTAGACGTGGTTACATCTCTGGATGGCGAATGCCAGTCATGCCGCAGTCTTTTCACCCATGATACATTATCAACGAAGAGACTGCACAGTCCCTCTTAGCAGCAGCTAGTCTCTGACTGTCACTATGCAATTCTGTCTCGCTCCATGATGCACAGGTACTGATGCACAAAGAAATGCACATGCGGACACAGCAGCTTGCAAGTGTTTCACAGCTGGGAGGGGTCCCAAGGGCGGAGTGGTTCCATGGGACCAAGTAGGTAGATTTTGACATTATAAACTCTTTTCTAACAGGCCTGCTTCTAATGAATATTACATTTGCTGTAATAAAATGCTTTGAATTGATTCTATATAAAATTAATCTAATAAATACTGTTTTTTAAAAATAAACTATTGTTAGCTTTCTGTGAAATTTAGACCTTTGCAATAAATGAAGTCATCAGTCCACCCTGCACTGGCTGTATGGCCATATTTCACCGAGCTGCCACTCTCAGAGCAATGGGTTGAAGCTGCCCAGGTCCCTTAGGGTGACGCCAGACCAACATGCCATCGTGTGACACACATAAAGGGGTCAGAATTGGAGGAGTGTGGCACAGGCTTCGAAGTCAAAGCCCTGCAGAATGAGGCCACTGCAGGGCTATCCAGAGAGCTTCTATCCCTGTTCCTGGCTGCCAGCGTACAAGCGGTAGGCATTAGGTACCCAGCAGCTCAGCACCCAACAAGGAGGCACTGTTAAGAAATTTCCAAGATTTGGCAGCAAGGGGGAAAAATTTTCAGAGGGCTGTTCTGGACACTGGCAGCTTCTATTCTATTTTGGGATCATATCCTCACACACACTTTTCCAAGGCCACACACTGGGAAACACCAGTACACTTTTCTAATTTTTCCAGCAGGTGATCTCATTAATGATATTATCTATTTATCTCTAAATTTGGTAGCTAACAACATAGTTCCTCCCACACAAACAGCTAGGCAAAGTGCCTCTTCTCTCCACTCAGACGAGAAGTAGGAGGGAGTTCTCCTTCTGTGAACCCTCTCATCTCTACCCATAGGTAGAGATTTTTTTTGCCTCATGTCCTCTTCCACACCTTTACTGAGTAGCCTCCTAATGCTCAGTTAAGCAAGGACAGCCAGGACAGTCCTCCCACTATCTGCTCACCCACATTTTGCCTGAAGAACAATGGGATGGAGCAAAACATCACTTTCCCACTCTGCTAGGGTGTCACTCCCTCCTTGCAAGCAGCAGCAGCGGGCGGTGTGATGTGCCCACTTGCAGTTGCTATGAAGCCTCTCTCCTCCTCCTCAGCAAGGTTTGATCAGCAGAACAACCCTAATTAGTGGAGACAACAGCGTCATCCCCTGTCATCATGAAACACCCTGAGACCTGCAAACCTGTTTGGGAAGGCAGCAATGAGGTGGGCAACATCACTCCCTTCTGTGGTGTTTGGAAGGTGATCAGCTCTTCTTCATCAGAGGTCTGAGCAAGAGTGTGGTGTAGGTAATTCCCTGGCTGAGGAGCCTGAGTCATGCTCCGAACTGCCGTGTGTGAAGGTAGTTGGGACACAGAATGTCCTCTCCTGGTCCTCTCCTCCTACTGTGCTGCGCGGGGAAGGCAGTGTCAGGAAATGGCTGCAGGAAGCCTGCGATGCCCAAAGAGCAGTGTCTCTGTGCTGGATCTTGCTGAGTGGTTGTCCCCTCTTCGGGCCCAAATGGTCCCCACGTCTCTGCAGTGTTCAGTTCTTTCCCAGCCAGAGAACCAGGAACCTATTTCTGACGACAGTCCAGAAACCAGACAGCGAGATCAAAATCCCCGGTGGAGTTTGCTATGGCTCACCTGTTACAGGCCCAAACACTCCAAAGTAGGCCATCACAAAAATAGTCTCTTCCATTTTAAGACGGCTCACACTTGCCCGGCGGCCCTGTGCCTCGGATGCTTCCTGAGGGCAGGGGATGGGTCTGGAGGGGGACTGTCACCCGTGGAGCTCAGCGACGGAAGCACCGGCGCTGCAGCACTGAAGCTGCAGACGGCTTTCCCGGGTCGGGCCCGGAGAGCTCGCTCTTCCCTTCCCTTCCCTTCCCTTTCCGTACCAGCGGGGCAGCGGCAGCGTCGCGCTCCGCGCCGGGGGTACCCTGCACACCCAGGGATGGCGCCAAAGGGGCGGCTGATACAGAGATTTTCGCTTGTTCATAGCTGCTAGTGCCTTGCAAGAACTCCCAGCAGGCTCCCTGGGAATCAGTTTGCTGTAACAATAATAGTAAGAAAATATTTCTATTTTTACAAAAGTGTGACAGAGCCATTTCCAGGGCTGTGGTCCCTATTTTATGTGGAAAAGCCACTTTTTAAAACTATTATATAATATTTAACTATGCTATAGACTGACAGGTTCCACCCCTTGCATTTTGAGATGTTAGAAAAAGACATTTAAACTGTCAGAGAGAGTTATTTTATATTTAGCCAACACCAGCAGTTACAGATACCTCTGACACGTCCAAGATGTGGGGCAGATGTGCAAGCCCCTCCAGATGCACATGAAGAAGCAGGAGGCAGGGAGGCACTTTACTGACATCCAGTTTACTTCATCCAAAACACAGCATGATGGGTCCTCCTTATAACCTTTAAACCTGTGTCCTCTCCTTCCTTCTCCAGAGGGGAATGGTTCCACCCGAGGAGCTTCACCGTGGCTGGGACTTGCTGCCCTAGGACTGCTTTACAGGGCTCACAGCTCTTCCTGCCCATTATACTAGCTGGCAGCCGGGAGCCATTCTTGCTCCAGGCAAACAGGCTTGCAAAGGGGAAGAGATATGAAGAGAAAGAGCAGACAAGGCCAGCAGCCAGGGGACACATGCCTTTGTCATGTGTTACTGAAGGTCTTCATAAGAGGACAAGCTCCCAAGGTGACAGCATTTTGCCCTGCTTTCAGTTTCAAGCCCACTCGGCAGGAGGAAGGGGCTTTTCCTTGTAAACCCTCGTCACATTTGGGCTGGTTTCCAGTCCTGCTCTAGCCCCTTTCCTTTGTTCATCTGGAGCACTCAAATAGCCGCAGAACAATGGCCGAGCGGCGGTGTGTACACACAGCTCTTCCTGCCCAGCCTGCCCCAGCCCCACCGCGCACGTACTCCGTGTTAAGCAAGCCATGGTTGTACAAGCACATTTTATGGAGTGACGACAAGAGCTTCCACTGGCTTGGAGCTGTTTTAAAAAGAAACGCACAGGCACCTTCTCATGTTTACTCCACAAGAGCGGCCTTAAAAAAACAAGTAAGTCCTCGACGCATGTAGGAACATCCACCAAGAGCTGCATATGGCTGAATCTACAGCAAAAAATCAGGGTGTCTATGTGGCAGAAGAAGCTGGGCTCAGTTTTATAAAACCGAAGAAAAGGAAGAGCTTTTGCCCCTTTTTTTTTACTGTACTTGGACTGAGCTTTTCTAAGCCCATCAGAAAGGCCTTTCTGATACAGACCACACTAATAAATTAAATTTTTCCACACTTGACCACTTCCCATCACCCCAGTATTCTCAAAGGCCATGCTCTAGCAGAAGATGAGTGGATGTGCCACTGCTTCGTGTGGACTTGCAGTGCATGGAAATGGTCACTAGTATGGGAGCAGGAAAGGATCAGAGGAGGACGGCATCAAGGGTTAGGGTCATGCTTAGTTATCTGTCAGGACCAAAGGAAGAGAAAGCAAAGCCATGGCATGATGCTGAAACTTACCCCCCTTCTGAAGTATGAAAAGTGGACAAACCCTGAAGGTCATGGTGGTAACCAGGACCCGCTTGCCTCCCTTGGCTCCCATGGCTGCTTTCAGTGCTGCTTGAGTTGGTTTTCACCAGAGGTTTCTTGCTGTAAGCCCCAGCTCTCGATTCTGCCTCCAACCCGTTCAGCGTTCTCTGAGCAGATCTGTTGCCTGTGATTTCATGTCGGTATCCATCATACCTGTTCTCATATGAAACAGGGGGATTTTTTGACAATTTGTATCCATGAGAAATCAGGAGGTCCTCGACACTGAACATGTTGTGATGGTTTCACTCACAGCTGTGCCCTCAGAAAGCTCTTTCCAGCAGGACCCATCACTGGAAAACAAAACCAGAAACAAACAGAAGGCCTCTTTAAACAAGTAAAGATATCTTTGATCAGCTGGTAGGCTGCTGAAGCTAAAAGTCTCATGCCCTGGCCTCAGTCTTCCACCTATACAATAAAATAGATGAAGCAAAGTGCATGCAGATGCTGATGAATCATGTACTGACCTTCCCCATACAATACACCTCCATGCACTCAGGCAAGCAGCAGATGCCGTGCTGCTGCTGACTCAGTCCGTTTCACTGAAGAATTCACTGGTGATTGCAGCTTTCAGATTTCAATGAGTGATTTCAAAAAAATCTTTGTACCGGAGGTAAGCCCACAATCTGAGTCAGGCTTTTCCTTAAAAAACAATTTTTCTCCAGTCATGGAGAGGTGTGCTCTGTATTACGTTTTAAGTTGCTATAGGAGGAGGAGGTGGATTACAGGGCAATATGCCTCTCCCTACAGCTCTGCATATTCCAATTAAGAAAAAATGTTCACACGAACAAGGACAAAATATGCATGAGAACAAAAATGAATTATGCAACCACATGAGAAACCCAGGTCATATCATCCAATACCCCAGCTAAACAGTCTTTTTTACATATTACTTTCTGTTCAGCCTGCACCGGCCTGCTCAAAATCAGTAATCCTTAACTAGAATAATACAAAACCTAAGATTTCAAGTACACTCTATTTTCACAGCACAATTCCACAGCATAAAATTATGGGAAACAACCTGAGATACCCATGTCTATTGTGTCTCAATGATTTCCAAGACATGGGAGAGTCAAGATTTTTCTTCCCAGTGACAGCCCTCAATTCTGTACTGACTAGAGCATTCCAGCAAACTGAATTAGTTGGCTGGAAACAATCTCTATTGTCCATGCTGCTCTCGCAGCTTATTATGGCAATTACAGAGTACCCATTCTTCCAGAGCTTTAAAATGAGTGGAAGGTAATGATCTATTCTGTAGGTTGTGCACAACAATGGACCCATTCTGATACATTCTTCCTTGCTTGAACTGTGTTACCAGAAGAAAGAAATAAAAACAAAGGTGGATAAAAAAGAACTGAAACACACAGAAACAGATTCGTTAGGTAAAGCATAAACCGCTCCAGATGATTTTCCCATGATGAAGAGTTCACTTAACATGCCTGGTGAGTACCATGTATCGTTAGTAGTAGCAGGTCTACCAGAGGGAGAGAAGCCCAGCATTGGCAGATACTCAAAAGGAGATCATCTCTGCAAAGATCATGACAGGCAAGTGCATTTTATACACTGGTCTCCAATGCTCTTGGGCAAGAAGAGAGCAAGAACCCTGTTCACTGCTATTTATAATAATTTACTTGAGGTGGAGCAACTACTGAGATGGCTGCTGAGCATTTATTAGTACCAAATCTCTCAGGCTACGTATACACAGAAGTTGATGGGTTGGCTTAGAATATAAACTAGTTTCTGTGGTGCAGCACTCCATGTATTATGGCCACTTTCTGCCTATCCACTTTCTGCTCCCGCCCTGTCTCCTGGATGCTCTGCAGACTGCAGAGCCGGTCCAGCCGGCCGCTCCGGGCCAGCCTGGTGCGCAGCTCCCAGGCACGCAGGGACCCTCCAGCCGCCTCTGCCCGGCACTGCCCACAGCGGTCACAGCACTTGCCCAAAGACAGCCCATAGTGTGGAAAAATATGCACAGTTTTTATGCAGAGCCACAATTTAACTGGTAACCTGGAACGCTGCAGAAGTGGCTTTTCAGCCTGAGAGCCTGCTGAGTGCTTAAACCGGTTTGTCTCTAGAGCTTAATGAATCTCTTCCCTTTTCACACATGTAACACTACACACCCTTTAAAAACAGAGAAATAAAGCTCTGTGCTGAAGGTATTTTAGGAGTATCCCCTGCTAGAACAGGACTCCAAATTCCCAGTAAGTGCTCTGAGTAAGCGAGCCAGCAGTAAGTACAAGCAGGCAGAAAGAAGGGAGGAGCAGGACCCTTCCCTCTTGGAAGGAAGGGAAGGCTCTGTGGGTTATTTTTGAACGCTGACCTAAAAGGCTGATTTTCCATCCACCCACTGCCCTGGACTGTGCGAGGAGCCAGGTACAAGCAGAGCAAGGGCAACAGCTGGCTGCTGGAGCTGTTCAGCTTCTAACAAGAGAAAGATCCAATGTGACTACCATAAACAGCAGAAAGCCCATCAGAGTGCTCGCAGGTGCAAGGAAGAAATGTGCTTTTCCTGCTATTACTGTCAGGCTGGCTTGGAGCACAGCTTAACCCCCTCTGTGCCGCCCACTGCAGCCATGGTGCCATCAGAGAGGAAAAGACGAGTGGGCAAGAAACCTCCAGCCCATGGGGTTTCTTCTGATCCTCCTTTTGGCACTGGTTGTGAGGAGCAATGGGGTGGAAATGCACCATGAGGAACTGGTGTGACTGTCTCCTCCTGCTCTGCAAACTTATGTCTGGAAGGGAAAACCCCGGGGTGCTACAGGCGGTGAGAAGACCTGGCTGGGAGCAGGATGCTATCACTGTGCCCATCACAGCTCTGCAATGGGAACAAACAAGGTGGAGAAGCCTGCACCCCTCTGCCTGCTGCGATGCCCTCAGCACCCAACACCCCGATGAGCCGTCCCCAGATGCACCACATGCAGAAAGGCTCCATGCCCACAGTGCAAGCTCCCAGGACCAGGTAGCACTGGTGGAGGGTGGCCGTTAGCTGCTGTCAGGACACATGCCTCGAAGGGCTGCACAGAAGTCACAGGGAGGTACCATCCCTCGCATCGGACCTGGCCAGGGGCAGGGGAGACAGAGGCCCTGCCCAAGCAAAGCCTGCAGGACAGCAACCATGTCAGCACCCAGTGTCGTCAAGGTCACTGGCCAGCTTTCCAAACCTGGTTGCAGCACTGGGATGCGCTTCCCACCCTCCCTTAGATAAATAAATCTAAAAAACAAAAATCAAAGGAATTGGATTGGCAGGAGTAACAAAACCATTGCTGCAACACTGTCTTGTAAATAATCTGTCAGACTGGGCCAAAGAGTAAAGGCTTTGCAGAGCTTCTAATTTGAGGGAAGATCAACAACACTGGAAAACAGTTTGTTTTTCCAGTGCTCATTTGTTTTGTTTGCCAATGACATCAGTGCTTTCTGATAGGGTTTGCTTCCTGAGGATGCCTGCTATCTTGCCAGCGTTTCCGACTTGTCCCTGTCGGCCGGTACAACTCCGCATTACACTGGAAACAGGGGCCAAGTTTTTCTCTGGAAATTTCTCAGCAACACTTTCAGATGCGAAGAAACAAGCACAGGCTGAACGGCGGAAATCAGCATCAGCCCCCATGTACACAGACACAATGGAAACCCGCAGCCTCGGCGAGTGGGACACAATGGGACCACCAGATGGGAACGTCATCAAAGCACCTTGTCTTGGGGTGCTCTGTCCAAGAGCAGGGATCACGTCGCTGGCCCTGAGAAAAGCCCAAAGCACTCCTGAAAGATCTTTCTCAGTCGGGAAAACACACTGGTTTCTGTTAATGGTCTGCCTTTATCTGCAGGTTTTTTCAGTGGCAGGGTGAAAAAAGTGTTATTATTCGGGGGGAGAGGTACCACCACCACCACCTGTCCAGTGACCAGTACCGGTGACAATGAATGCCAACACTTGCAGAAGCGGCAGAAGCAGCTCTCACCACCATGCTCTGAAATAGCTTGCATGCTGTTGAATCCTCCCTGCACGGTGTTTTGAGCAGCCCATCGTCATGCCACTTCCTTTAGCCCTGGTTCCAGAGAGTGTCCTGGCACAGCATCCATGTATTGGGTGGGAGACCAGAAGTGACAGAGAATTTGGCCCTGGCTGCCCTCTCTTACATCTCTCCTGCCCTTTGGTACTTGAAATAAAGTGGAAGGTGGCAATCCTTTAACTGTTTGAATACAACCCCTGAAGTCTTTGCACATGATTTGCTGTGCCCACCTCTGCAGAATTATTTATAACGTTTTTGTAAGCGATTCTGTACAACTTTTCAGAAAAGAAAACATCGAAGGAACATGATTCATATTGCAAAATGAAGCATACAAACATAATGAGTTACTAGAATCAGTGCACCCTGAATGGACGTACGAGTTGCTGCAGTCTGTAATTACATGACTTCAGGCACTGAATTCTGCAGGACTCCTGCCTCGGTTGATGGGCAACCTAGGTGATGCTAGTCTTTCTGGGATTTATCTACAGCAGCTATCCAAACACTGTTCTGAAGACAGAGTTACTAACAGGCATCTGAATTACAAAGCATATTATCTAGATGGGTCATACATTAAACTAGCTTATCTTCACTCACGTCTGGGTGACATTATTCCCATTTCATATCAGACGTGTGCCAGACAGAAGTATTTATGCAGACAGACTAAAGTGAAAACAACCCTCTCCATTCTAGGCACCCAGTCTGAAGTGCCTATGACCTGTTTTTTTTTGAAGCACTTAAGCTTAAAAGTAAACTAGGTACAGTCAAACTAACTGTTGCAAGAGCCTAGTGTCTCTGCACATCAACCCACATGTGGCAAGTCAGCTGTCCACACAATGAAGACATTGGATGAGCCAAAAAATTGGTTGCAGTAATTTGTCTACTGCGCTCTCCATCCCTCTGCCCATCTCACACAGCACCAACACTTTTGTCCAGGCAGCCCCATATCCCTCCCTCCTCTGTTAACTCCACACTATCATGCAACACGGTGCCTTCATTTCCCACTTCCCACACGCATCTGACCTTCTTGCCACCCCTCAGCACCCCTTCCCTGCTTTTCCATCTCCAGGTCCCACCAGTCAGGCCCCTCTTCCCACACAGCCCACCATGGTGCTAGCCAGCCCGCCCTGCCCTCCAGCACCCCTTTACAGCTTCTCCTGACCTTGTCCTCAGTTTCCATCCATCACCCCAATTTCCTCCTTCCCCTCCTAATGATCAGCTTCTGCCTCGTCTACATTTCCAGCAGAAGCACCTCTGTGCCTGCTCCATGCTCCCAGGGCTGATACCCCATCTCA